TTAACTTGAGGTCGGGTTATCATCAGATTAAGGTGAAGGATGAAGATATCCAGAAGACGGCTTTCAGAACGCGTTATGGACATTACGAGTATTCGGTGATACCTTTCGGTGTTACAAATGCACCGGGAGTATTCATGGAGTACATGAATTGTATCTTTCAAACTTATTTGGATCAGTTCGTAGTGGTGTTCATTGATGATATTTTGATTTATTCTAAATCAGAGGAAGAGCATGTAGAACACTTAAGAATAGTATTTCAAGTTTTGAAAGAGAAGAAGTTGTATGCAAAGCCGTCTAAGTGTGAATTTTGGTTAAAGGCGGTTAGTTTTCTTGGTCATGTGATCTTAGATAGTGGCATTGTTGTAGATCCATCTAAGGTAGATGTTGTGTTGTAGTGGGAAACTCCAAAGTCGGCTACCGAGATTAGAAGCTTTTTGGGATTATCTGGTTATTATAGAAGGTTTATCGAAGGTTTTTCTAAGTTGGCACTTCCGTTGACTAAGTTGACTTGTAAAGGTAGAGCTTATGTGTGGGATGTTCAATGTGAAGAAAGTTTTACAGAATTGAAGAAAAGATTGACGTTGGCTCCGATTTTGACATTACCTAATCCAAGAGAACCTTTTGTGGTATATTGTGATGCTTCCAAGATGGGTTTAGGAAGTGTGTTTATGCATAATGATAAGGTAGTTGCTTATGCGTCAAGGCAGTTGAGGAATCATGAGAAGAACTATCCTACACACGATTTAGAGCTTGTTGTAGTTGTTTTGTGTTGAAGATTTGAAGGCATTATCTTTATGGTTCTAGGTTTGAAGTATTTAACAACCATAAGAGTTTAAAATATCTATTTGATCAGAAAGAATTGAATATGAGACAACGAAGATGGTTGGAGTTGTTAAAGGATTATGATTTTGGTTTGAATTATCATCCAGGAAAAGCGAATATGGTGGCTGATGCGTTAAGTCGAAAGACTTTACATATGTCAACAATGATGATTAAAGAGTTGTAATTAATTGAACAGTTTAGAGATATGAGCTTAGTTTGCGAGGTGACACCGCAAAGTGTTATGTTGGGAATGTTGAAGATTAATAATGATTTTCTAGATAGTATCAAAGAAGCTCAGAAGTTAGATGTGAAACTGGCAGATTCAATGGTTGGGATCGATCAGTCTGAGAAAAGTGAAAGTTAGATGTGCAAGGTGTGTTGAGATTCCATACTCAAATTTGTATTCCTGATGATACGGAGATGAAGAAAGTGATTCTTGAGGAAGGTCATAGAAGCAAGTTAAGAATTCATTTGGGAGCTACAAAGATGTATTAGGATTTGAAGAATTTGTTTTGGTGGCCTGGGATGAAGAGTGATATGGCTCGGTTTATGTATGCATGTCTGACTTGTCAGAAGTCGAAAGTTGAACATCAGAAGCCTGCAAGGTTGATGCAACCATTAGAAGTCCCGGAATGGAAATGGGATGAAATTTCAATGGATTTTGTGACGGGACTACCAAATACTTCAAGAGGACATGATTCGATTTGGGTGATTGTTGATAGGCTTACAAAGTCGGCTCATTTTGTTCCTATTAACATCAGTTTTCCAGTATCAAAGTTGGCTGAGATTTATACTAGTTTAATTGTAAAGCTGCATGGTGTTCCTTTGTGTATTGTTTCGTATAGAGATCTGAGGTTTACTTCATATTTTTGGAAGAGTTTTCAAGAGGTGTTGGGTTCTAAGTTGAGGTTGAGTTTGGCGTATTATCCTCATCCAGATGGTCAAACAGAAAGAACTATTCAGTCGTTAGAAGATTTGTTGAGAGCATGTGTTCTTGTGCAGAGAGGTTTGTGGGATAATCTTTCGTTGATAGAGTTCACTTATAATAACAGTTACCATTATAGTATTGGAATGACACCTTTTGAAGCGTTGTTTGGTCGTAGATGTATGACTCCTTTATGTTGGCATGAATATGGGGAAAGTGTAGTGCTTGGACCTGAATTTGTTCAAGAAACTACTAAAAAGGTGAAGTTGATTCGAGAAAAGATGAAAGCTTCCCAAAGTAGACAGAAGAGTTGTCATGACAAGCGAAGGAAAAATTTAGAATTTCAAGCAGGTGACTATGTGTTTTTGAGAGTTACACCTGTGGCTGGTGTTAGGCGAGAATTGAAGTCTAAGAAGCTCACTTCTCGTTTTATTGGTTTGTGTCATATTTTGGATAGAGTTGGAAATGTTGCTTATAGAGTTGCTTTACCGCCTAATCTTTCGAATTTGCATGATGTGTTTCATGTGTCACAACTCCAGAAGTATATTTCAGATTCATCTCATGTAATTCATATGGATGATGTGCAAGTACGAGATAATATTACTATGGAGACGATGCCTGTACGAATCGCATACCATGAAATAAAGACTTTAAGAGGTAAAGAGATTGCTTTGGTGAAAGTAGTCTGGCTAGGAGTTGTCGGAGAAAGTATGACTTGGAAGTTGGAAAGCAAAATGCAGGGCTCTTATCCTGAGTTGTTCGAATGAGGTAAATTTTAGAGGACGAAAATATTCTAAGTGGGGGAGAGTTGTAACGTCCGTTAATTTAATTAATTATTTAATTCATTTATTTTTGGATTATTTGTTGAAAAGTTGTGAGATGTTGATAATTGTTGGTGTAAGTTGTTAGATTATTATTAATTAATTAATTAGTTGACTAATAATAATAATGTTGGATTTAATGGAATAATAATGTTGGGCTTATTTTATTGGTTGGAAGTAGTAAAGTGGGGGGTGTATGTTAGGTCTAATAGGATTGATGATATAAGGTTAAGCTGACACAAGAATTTGGTTTTTGGAGAACAAGGAGTCTTAAGTGTGACCGAAAGAGCTGCACGGAGAGAGGAGTAAGTTGCTCGGAGTCGAGCGGAGCAAAACAAGGCTGTCAGCTGGAATTTTGGTAGATCAATCTTCAATCCAGGTAAGGATGAGGTTCTGACCTTATAATGGGATTTATGATGTGTATTATGTGGGAATTGGTCGTTTGTATGACTGTGTGTGTTGATGTTCTGGATTTGTTATCGAAGTTGCATGTTTCTCTATGTTGTGGTCATTAGGGAGTCACCGTAGGACTGTATCGCATGATTAGTGAACCTGTTATTGAAGTTGGCCGCTATCCGTGTTGTGGGCATTTTGAGTTGTCTGTATGATTGCCCGGTAGAATCGATGTGTAGGTTATTGTAGTTTATCACTGGGTGGTGTGGTCGTTATGATGCGGTGGTATTCCGAGCAGTTGGCAGGAAATTAGGAATTGTTGTTGTGGTTGTTTTAGGAAGGTTTCTGCGTGACTGTCTTGTAGAATTAATGAATATGTTGATAGGAAATATAGTTGCCCGTTGCTGTGTTATTCCGAGCAGTTGGTCGGAGATCATGGATTGTGTTGTGGTGGTCGTTATGCTGTTGTATTATTCCATGTTGTTGACTGGAATTAGTGGTCGAGGAGGATGCTGAGGTGTTAGGTGCCGAACAGAATGTAGGCTGCGAGGTGTGTCGAAGAATATATGTGTTAGATGTCGAACGGTATTAGGCTGCAAGGCGTGCTGAAGAGCACAATATTGATGTCGAGCTGCACGAAGTTGCACGTTGTGTCGAGGAGCATAAGTAGTTGTTATTCTTCTTGGTTTCGGTGTGTGTCGAGGGGTATTGAGTTAGTGGTTATTTTGTCTTGTTGTTGTGTATGTCGAGGGGCGCGTAGTTTGTCTTATCCCTTTTTCCCGTATATGTTGTTTTGATCGTTACAGTGTGATGTGTAGTCGTGCTTAATTGAGAATTTATAGGTTGATGAATTATGTTGAGATGCCTCTAGTTTGGGAGATATTATGTTGTAGGCTTATGGCCAAAGCTGAATTATGTTGATGTCAAATTGTTGTTGATGTTGTAGGCTTATGGCCAACGTTGATTTATGTTGAATTTATGTTGAATTGTCGTTGATGTTATAGGCTTATTGCCAACGTTGATTCATGTTGAGTTGTTGTTTGTTGTTGTTGTTGCTACATTCATGTTGTGTCGCATACATTGCATATCAAGTTGGAGTTGATGCTCGTTAAGTTGGTCTGGATTGGCAAATATAAAGTTGAAGGCTTATGCTTTGTTGATGCCTCTATTTATTGGCAGATTTTTAAGTTGAGAGTTCTGCTCCATTGATACCACATGCATTTGCATAAAGACAAGTTGTATTTTATGTTGTATTCTGAGTCGTTGTGTGGTTGATTTGATTATGCTTATGTTGTTAAAATTTGAGAAGTGGTGAATATGTATGAACCGATTCTAATATTTTATTTATCATACATTCTATTATGATATTCGATATCTCACCATTTATGTTTGAATGTTATCCATATGTTGGTAATGTGCAGGTAATTCAAAGTGAAGGCGAGTTACCTTCAGTAGTTCGAGTCGGTGTCATTGTTCTGATATGTAACACTCGGGAGATGAACGCTTGTTATTTTATTGTTATTATTCAATTGTTGCACTTTAAGTTGTTGTTCGTTAAATAACTATTATTTGAAGTTGTTTTAGTTTGATAAAAATGTTATATTCTTTAAGTTGAATATTTGATTTCGTTGTGTAGTTATGAAAGTTGTTGGCTTTAAAAGATTAATTTATGTTGTGGTTGGTTCATCCAAATTTAATGTGTTTATCATTGATAAATACCGTTGTTTTAAGTTGAATTTATAGCATCCTGATTCGGTTGTCGAATTTTTAACTCTGATTTTATATATAATTATCGGATAGAATTAAGGTGGACGGTTGCCAATAGATTGAAGATGGTGCTGCCATATATTATTGACGATGAGAAAAACACATTTGTCAAGGGCAGGTTTATAACCAACAACGCTCTTATAGCCATGGAATGTTTCCATTGGCTGAAGAAGAAAAAGAAAAGCAAGAAAGGGATGATGGCTCTGAAGCTTGACATGTCGAAGGCATACGATAAATTTGAATAGAATTTTATGGTGAAAACTCTTGAAGCGATGAGCTTCCTTGATCACATGATTCATCTCATAAAGGAGTGCATATCTACTGTCGCGTACCAAGTCCTTATCAACGGACAACTAAGCAAAATAAAATTTCCTCAGAGGGGTCTCCGTCAAAGAGACCCTCTCTCACCTTACTTGTTTATTATCTGTGCAAATGTTCTGTCACGAATGCTGAAGAGAGAGGTTGAAGACAAGCACCTCCATGGAGTCAGAGTTGCTAGGAATGCTCCGACTATCTCCCATATTTTCTTTTCCGATGATAGTCTGTTTTTTGCTAGAGCCAACACAGTTGAAGCTGGTCACATACTGAGGGTCCTCTCTAGATATTAGAAGGCTTCGGGTCAAGTTGTTAACCTCGAGAAATCTACGGTTTCTTTCAGCACGAATGTGGGAAGTGACGCTAGCGAGGCGGTGCAGAATATGTTGGGTATGCGGTGTGTGGCCCACCATGGGAAATACTTGGGGTTACCGATTATCCTTGGGAGGTCAAAGAAAGAAGTATTTTCTCTAGTTTTTTATCGCTTTTGGAAGAAGATAAAAGGCTAGAAGGAAAACTTTCAGTCACGGGCAGGGAAAGATATTCTTATTAAAGCGGTAGACCAAGCGATTCCGAATTATGTCATGAGCTGCTACAAATTACCGGATGGAATCTGCAGAGATATCGAAGGTTTGCTTGAAAAATTCTGGTGGGATGCAAAAGGTGGTGTCAGGAAAGTCCACTGGATGACTTGGGATTGTCTTTCTCAACCCAATGCAATGATACCTTTGATCAGTTTGAAGCTTTGCAAATTGCTAGTATTATGTTGTCTCGTGGATTCAAGGAGGATAAACAGACATGGAATTTTGAAAATGACAAGGATTATTCTGTTAAAATCGCTCATCATTTTCTTGGGGATTTAAAAAGACTGAAACGGCCTGTCCCCTCTCATCATGTCAGTGGCCTTTGGAAGAAAGTGTGGAAAATTCCGCTTGAGGCTAAGATCAAAAACTTTATCTGGAGAATGGGCAGAGATATCCTTCCTACAAGATGCAACCTTCAAAATAAAGGTATTGATCTTGATCCTTCTTGTCCTTTCTGCTATTCTGCCCCTGAAACACCTTTGCATCTTTTTATGGCCTGTGACTATGCGAAACAAGTTTGTTTTTCTTCTCCCCTGGGTTTCCGTTTTGAAGCCGATAGGGACTTGTTGGTTTGGTTGGATTCTGTTCTTAGCTGTAAGAATACCCTTACGGTTCAACTTCAGTTAACGGCTTTGTGGAAAATTTTGGCAAGCTCGAAATAATGTGGTGTTTAGGAACAAATTTGTTGATCCGCCGAAGGTGGCCTGAGAGGTTGGAGAGGTGGTGAGAGAATTCAACAGGGTTTTCCTCTAGACCGTCCAAAGAATCAGCCTTCGCCCTATTCTAAGGTTGTTTCTCTTGATTCCAAGACTACGTTGGTCCAAACTGATGCAGGCTGTTTTAATGATGGTTTGGTTGCCATGTGGTGTATTATCAAGGATAGAGAGCAAGATATTTTGGTAGCTACAATCAAGTGTGAGCATCTTCATGTGTCCCTTAGTGTGGCGGAATCGTTGGAGATAAAGTAGATGAAGTATCAGATGTAGAACACATAATTTTACTTGCCTTATGGCTCTCTCGATGTATTTTATATAGTAAATCTCTGCAAGTAGTCAAAAGGTTTCTAACTCTAGCTAATCAACTTCACTCTGGTCGAAACATATGCCTTATTGAGTTGACATTAGCTGGATTATATGAGTGTCTTGGGGAAGTTGCCACAAATCTAAAAGAATATAAAGCATGTACCAACTTACTGCTAGCTGGCCCATATTGGTTTATCCAATTGTGGTTTAATGCCACGTTCGAACCTTCACTTTCTACCTCCGTAAAAGTAGACGAAGCAGACCCTGAGATCAAAAGTCAAACTACTGAAGGAACTAAGTTAGTTCGATTGACCCCAAATAATGATGGAAAAGACTTAGAGGAGTGTTTCACAAAAATATGTTATGATGTTTGCTAAATGTCATAACTTTACTCCTTCGATGGCCCCCTTTGCTCAGAAAACTCATGGCCCTGAATGGTTTACAAGGTCTCTTTCTACTACTTTGCCAATTCAAAAGGCGGAAACCTTGGCTATATGGAAAGCCTTTTTTCTCCCTAGGCTAATTGTAACAAGACTTATGCCTATAAAAAGCCATATCACATTGCTGCTGAAGCGGTAAAGCGGCAAGCAAAAGTAAGTATTCATTTTGATATAGGTTATATCTTATCGTATCGTATTGTATCTACAGGGATTAGTGCTACTGAATTATCGTTTGATAAATCTCTCGTTAATGAGTTTGTGTTAAAATGGGTTTGAAGTAAATGCAGGAATTAAAGTTATTAAAAGGAAAAGAATTCATTCTTCAGATAAGAGACTTATCAAGAATGCATATAATTCATTCCTCACAAACTTAAACCTATCGACTAGTTATACTCAACCTATTATACTCATCAATACCATCACATATCAAACACAACCCCCATTGCATCATCAAGGAGGCGATCTCTCAACCAACCTTGATAACACAGAAGTCAACTGTGCTACTCGCGTTGACGATCTCTCAGCACAACACAACCAACATAGAGGTATTAATCATAGACACCCAAGTGAATAATAGCTCTAAATATATCTCTAGAATCTAGACAATATTAGATAATAGTCCTAGATGAGAATTCGAGCACTATATGTCTATAGCAACACAAACCCCAAGCTCAGAGCAAAAATCTAGGATAATAATCGACAAAGATTTGTAAAGCAAGCTTTATACAACACCATGGGCGACAAATATACATGAGTTCAAAGTAAATACATATACACAACTCAACAAATAGAGAATACATAAAGAAGAAGAGAAATAAACCACAAATCTCTCGGTTTGTCATCACCGATCGATGAGCAATCCATCCTAGATCATCCGTACCCAAGCTCTGTTGTTGTTTTCTAAGCTAATCAACCAAAAATTGAGGTGATGGAGTTGGGAGAACAAAAACACCCCCCAAACCATAACCTATAAATGAATGAAATGAAAGTTTTAAAACAAAATTCAACAGACCACACTAAGCGGGTCTGGCGCGCTAAGCGCGACTTCCTAAAATAACACATTAAACCGCCTAAAAGCACGCTAAGTGAGCTACTCGCGCTTAGCGGCCTCAAAAATCACATCTCTGCCTCAATAGTACCAAGACACTACGCTAAGTGCGTTCTCTTTGACAAAACTTCCCAAAACTAGTTTTTTTTTATTTCGAAAATGTGCATCTGGAGCTGTGTCTTCGACACCTTATTGCTCAATACTCCAAATGTGCAACAAATACCTACAAAAGAAGTAAAATCTATCAAATGATACACAAATGAATAAAAACACAAATATACACAAACTAAACTTATTTACAAACAAAACGGGAAATTATTCGAAGAATATTAACAAAAGAACTGATAAGTGCCATAAAACATATATACAGAATAACTATATTCTGGCACTTATCAAACTCTCCTCAACTTAAAATTTTTTGTCCTCAAACAAGGCCAAACAACTCAAAGAACACAAGTAATCAACCAAAGAATCATGAATCAACAAGTTTGAAAAACGAAATCAAATGTATAGTTTAAACAAAAATGCACAGGCAAGGTAAATACTTACCACAATCCTACAAAGGCAAAATATAAATGAATTGAATCCTAAGTACATAAATCATACTAAACATTTCTAAACAAAACAAGATTAATCATGAATCACGCCTAGTAAAAATTCATCGGTAGATGAAGAACACACAAAAGTGAGGTACTTGACACTCATCCACAATCTTGCAAACAATAGACTAAATTATGCATTCATCTAAAAATTAACATTGAACATACTAAGGAAAGAATCGCAAGAGATTTTCAAGGTTGTAATGTGGCTTGGTTAAAAAATAAGGGATAATTCCTAAATCTAATTGAAACAAAAACTTACCTAAACCTAAGGGAATGATCAACTCACAAAAGTTCAAGCACAAAATTTCAGTCAAGCTTCTTCTTTCATCTCAAGTGTTTCACCAAACACACCTTACTTATTAACACAATATTATTCCATACTCTATTTGTTTTTCTTTTTCCAAACTTTTTCAATTTTTTTCTTTCTTTTTACTTTTTTCTTTTTTCTTTCTTTTTCACAACCGCATAGCAATCACAACATAAGTGAGCAAACAATTCTCTTCCCAACTTAAATTCCACCACATTAAAGTGAATATTCCCTACCTTCTAGGGCAAGGTAAAAATTCAAACAAAAAACAATGGTTGTGGGTTTAAGAAAACAAAGAATCAATATCTATTCAAAAAGGAAAACCAAACACTCATAGACAAGCATTAAGTTCAAAAACAACATGAACATTGACAAAAAGGCTCAAAAGGGGTTAACAAAAATTCACACACTCACAAGGTGAATTGACTATTTGGCTAGGTAGTTATGCTCAAAATCAAAAAAAAAATGTCTTAATCACTTTCATGAATTCATGGAGTCAATACAAACAAAAGATTAAACAAAACAAAGTCCAGTTAAAACAATAATTGTGGCCTCTAGCATATATAAACAATGGAAAGCCTCCTCATATTTGGGGGTAAAAAGGGAACTAAACTGATTCAATTAAAAGCAAGTAATGCAAAAAGAATGAATGGTATGGTAATTATACAAATTATAAGTTTTCTAAACATGTTATGCTATTAGAAAGCGATAAACGATTATCTGGCATGTACCAACTTCAAAAACTATCATTATCATACATTCGTAAGTTGAAACACACAAACTCGGAAAATCACCAAAGACTTCAAGCTAAGAGGCCGAAATTGAGTCCAAACAACAAACAAAAAGAATTAAACAAAAATTATAATACTAATATTATTTACTACTATAAAGCCTTAGTGAAAGTGGGAAAAAGGAGGGCAAATTGAAATAAAAAGAATTCACTGATGCATTACAATAGAGTGTGTTAAGCGAGCTCTGCCGGGCTAAGAGCGCTACACCAGAACCAGAAAAAAACAGGACAACTTAGATAGTTTTAATACAAGCCTCCACTTATCACCTACACATCTCATTTATACAACTAAACAGAATTACAACACACACACACGTACACACGCGCACACACACGCACGCACGCACACACGCGCACACGCGCACACGCACACACGTACACACGCGCACACGCACGCACGCACGCACGCGCACGCACACACATTTTTCCTCAAACTAATAAAAGTAAGCTTTTGGAAAAACACAATTAACACAACAAAACAACCGAATAAAAGTGAATAAACAAGTTCAAAAGTGAAGAATGAGAATTTAAAACAGGTCTGACTTCAACTTGGTTAAACAAAAATTAATACACTACCTAAACTAACACAAAGAAAAATAAAAAAAAACACATGCTTGTTTTACGTCGTAAGTTCGACGCCTGATATTTACAAACCAACATATTGCTTCGAATGGGCCAAATGCTTTCACTCCCGCCTTCACTCTCATCTCTTCGAGCTCTAACCGGAACTAAACATCTAACCACACTCTTGGCAAACATAAAGAGAAACAAATCTAAACATATACAAGTATCAATATACACAAGTTTATATTCACAGTATTCACAATATAGGCATTATGTGCAAAACTCAAAAACAAAGAAACTATCGCAATGTGGTCCAATAAAAACACCAATCCCCGATAACAACGCCATTTTTCTGAAGCGGTAAAGCGGAAAGCAAAAGTACGTATTTATTTTGATATAGGTTATATTGTATCGTCTCTGTCATAACTGGAAAAAATACGAGAGTCGTCACCACTACTTTTTGTCCTAAGGACGAGAAAAGAACGGATAACCCTAAATTTTTAGAGATTCTAGATTCACGAGTTGGTTAGACAAAGGGAATGTGTTAGACACCCTTTATCTCCCTTGTTATTAAGGGGACCCCTATTTAGGTTTAGGACTTGATGAGAATTTTCTGTTTTTATTATGTGTTATTACCATGTATTCATGAAAAGATTTAGTTTTTTAGTGAGGGGACTCGCCTTGGTTTTAACCGCGTGGCTACGTATCCTCTTGCGAAGAAATCGTAGTCCATTTCGTAGTTCGTAGTATGTTTGGTTGGTGTTTTTGTATAGAATTGTGTTAAGTTGCTTTCGAATGGTGTTTTTGAACTTGTCTGGGTTTGAAAATGTGTGATGGTAGACGAAGTTTTTATCCAAGTAGAAAGTAACCGAGAAATCCTTTATTGAAAAAAGTCTTGAATTTGATTACGTTAGTAGAAAAATGATTTGTCGTTTGTTAGCTGTTTTGATTAAGTTAAGTGATAAAGAGTCGATCTTTATTAGAATTAGACCACGCTGGGCGAAGAAATTGATTTTTATAAGGAGTTGATCCTTATTTGAATTAAATCGCGTGACACGAAGAAATTCATTTGATTTGTTGGTAATTTTTAGAAGTTTTGATTTGAATGATTAATTAGTAAGACGTTAAGCCAACCAATCGATTATTCAAGAACGTTGTGGATGTAAAATCCACCAATTCTATTATTTGTAAAAAT